GTGGGTGGTGCAGGCAGTAGCAGTGAGGATGATGAGGGTTAGGATGACATCAGTGGTGAGGAAGGAAGGTGCTGATGGCTGTAGTAGTCAGAATGATAACAGTAAGGGGTGGACTGAACGTGGTGCAGCCCTGCGCCTGGCTGAGCAGTCTGTGTAAGGCTGTTGGCTCTGTGTCTGGCGTTGACCATGAAGTCAGCAGGAAGGAAGGATGGATTGAAGTGGTGAAGACCACACAATTCCCCATTTTACAAAGCTGGAATGTGCCTACAGTCTCACAACCAGCGAATGCCAAGCTGGGAGCTCACCCTCAAAATCTCTCATTACGCTGCTCTCTGCTGCTTCATTTTCTTATCAGCTTAGCCCACAATAAAGAACCTTGAATGGTTTTACTTTTGCCTCAAAAAACGTTTTTAACCCCTTTTTGCCAGTGTTGTTGTTGTTGTTGTTAAGTGCCGTCAAGTCGGTTCCAACCCATAGCGACTGTGTATAGGGTTTCCAAGGTTGTAAATTTTTACGGGAGCAGAAAGCCTCGTCTTTCTCCCGTGGAGTGGCTGGTAGTTTCGAACTGCTGACCTTAAGGTTTGCAGCCCAACTTGGAAGCGCTATGCTACCAGAGCTCCTATTTGCCAGTGTAGGGGAGAGTTAAAGTCTCTGTTTTAGAACTTGACACCCTCATCCCTCCAAATCAACTCTACCTCTGAACCAACAAATCCCACTTTGTTCAGTAATGATGATGTCTTCCCTCTTTCTACTTTGCTAACAGAAGGTTTGGCAAAAAAAGGCCATTAGGTTTGACACCTGACCTCTGAGAGCTCTCTAATGAAGGAGGGAACATGTTAGGTGTCCAGGGGTCACGGAGGTCCCATCTCCTCTGCAGAGAAGGATTCAGGTACGTTTTCAGCCCCACACAAGGAGGTTCAGGTAGGAGCAGACCGATCAAAGCATCCGTAACCTGGGCTGGGTCACGGACAAATCTGCTCCTGTCGTGCATACCTGGATCCCATGGGCACAATCATGTCCCGGCATTCCACATGTTAACCTCCCCATGGGCAAGGGTGGCATTACTTACAAGGACATTTCAGCTGATGAAAAACTGAAGTGTCCCTAGTGATGCAAACGGTGCTAAGCAGCTAATCCAAAGGCTGGAGGTTCGAGTCCCCCAGAATTACCTTGGAAGAGAGGCCTGGAGCTTTTGGGAAACCAGACTCTGAAAACCCTATATTCGCTCTTACTCTAACGCACATAGGGTCTGACACACGTGAGTTGAAATCCATTCAACAGCACCTCTTTTTATTTTTTTGTTTTTTAATGAAGGGAACTCGCGCGCACGCGCACGCACACTAAGTCCAACTCTGAGCCTCAATCTTCCCTTTTGTTTCAGCTGTGGAGGCTGGGTGGGAAGGTGACATGCAAGGTTGGAGGGTAATTTGCCCAAGAATGCAGAGCGCAAACATTTTTAACCGCCACGGAGAGGCTCTGCAAGCTGATTAGAACCATTTGTATGGTCAACAGAAATGAGGGCTGCAGAGCGCCGCGCAGGGGGACAATGTTCGCTCTGTTCTGTGGGGCAAAACAGATGCCAGCGTCCCCCCTGACTTTACAGCGTTTTCTTGGCCTGAGCCGGCAAACGAGCTGATTAAAATGGGGCCCGCGCCGCCCGCTGAACGGCCTCCCGGAATGTGGCGGAGGCGTGGTGGGCTGGCGCTGGGGTCTGGGCCTGGCGGGGGCTCGTGCCAAGTGCGCGCACGCGTGTGGCAGAGACTGAGGCTGGGGGATGCTCTTTCTCCCGCCTGGCCCTCCGACCTCTGCAGGCAGAGCAGCGAGCCTGGCCACAGCCAGCCTACTGGCCGGCATGGGACTGGACACAAAGATGCCGTGTCCTCCAAGTACATGTTTTCCTGCAGCGGTGTCTTGGGTGAAACCCAGCCAACCCGGGGCATTGGGTTTCGCTGGGAGATCCACTGTGTGGTCTGCGTTGGAGGCCAAGACTTTCCAACCATACATTTAAGCGGCGGTTACTCGAGTCTGGGCTTTTAAGAAAGAAAAAAAAAAGGGGCTCATTTCCGAGCAGACTGTGAACCGTGAGGTCTGTAACCGATACGCAACCCCGGAGCGCACGTTTACCGGCAGTGGGCGCCTCTCCCCGGCGACACGATGTGGCCTCGAGCCGGGGAGGACGGAGGGCAGCGTCCCACGTGTGTCCGCTCCCTGCCCGAGGGGCCGGGACTCTGGGGAGGACAGTGGAATGCGGGCGGAGACATGGAAAGGTTCTGTTAATAAGCACTCGGGGGAGACTGGAAATGACAGCGCTGGAAAAGGCCTTCCACCCGGGCTAACTTGGGTCTTGGGACCTCAGTGACCTTGTGCATAAAATGAAGGGGCGGGAGAGGAGGGCTGATGGAATAAGTGCTGTTGGGCCACCCAAGGTGTTAGTGGCTCAGCTGGACTCAGACCCCTGACCTCGACCAGGGGCGCCTTCCGCTGCCCCAGCTCCTTTGTCCAGAACACAGCCCAGTGAGAACTAGTGAGGAGGTGGAAGCCTCCCTGCGAAATCAGCTCCAACACGGGAGGGAACCTCTGCGGGAAGAGTCCTCGTGGCACGGGTGGTTAATCGCTTGCCTTACTGAAAGGCCCGCGGTTCAAGCCTACCACTTGCTCCGTGGGGGACAGCAGTGATAACGTGTTTCTGTAAAGACTGCTTTTTTGGTTGTTTTTTCTCACTGTGGTTGTGGGGCAAGTTTACAGAGCACATTAGTTTCCCATTTGACAATATGTAAGCACTGTGTCGTGATATTGGTTGCCAGCCCCCTCAGTGTAACAGCACTCTTGCTGCATCCTCCCCATTTCTAGCCTCTCTTCTTTCCCACTTCGCTTTTGGAACAGACCCTTTTGGTCTGTATGGTTGGTTGTACTGAGGACAGTCCTCACCAGTGTGTGTCCTCACCTTAGAGGCCTCCCTGTCGTTTGTTTCCATGAAGATTTACTGTCTTGGGGACCCCCTGGGTAGTTCTGCTTTGTCCTATGGGGTCTCTAAGCATCGGAACCAACTCGAGGGCAGTGGGTTTGGGTTTGGGCTCCCTGTAGATGATGAGAAAAATGTGACCCTCTTTACCTTTCTGATTAGAGTTCCTTCATTCCTTCCACAGCGCTGTATCTGATATTTCCCACTGCTGGGAATGTGATGTTTACTGAATCGTCAGCCTCATCCCAGCCAATAACTATTGTGCCTGCCCCTGGGCTGGGCTTGAGGTATCCAAAGACAATCAGATTGTCAAATTGTAAAGACAATCAAATATGGATTTAGTTAAGCAGGTGAATATTGTGGAATTATGAGCTGCCACAGACAGACAGCTCTTCAGAAAAGGAAACAGTATGTTCACGTCCTCCAAAATGTCAATACTGAACAGACAAGTTTGAGTACCCCCCCAGGCTTGGTGGGTGGCTGGCTGTAGACAGATTGGTTGGTTGGGTGGTAGGCTGGTTGCTTGGCTATGTACTGAATGTTTGTTATTGATGGCTGATTGTTGACAGATTGGTTGGTTGGTAGATTGGTTGCTAAATTAGCTAAATACAGATTAGCTGTTCTTGGGTGGGTAAGTGGTGATTGACAGATAGATGGTTGGTTGCTTGGTTGACTAAACATTGGCTGTTATTGGGTGGTTGATTTGGTTGGTAGATTGATTGTTTGGTTGACTAAGCACTAATTTTTTTGTTGTTGGTTAGTGCGTGGTTATAGATACATTGATTGGTTAGTAGCTTGGTTAACTAAATATTGCTTGGCTATTATTGGTAAAGAGTCCTGGTGTGGCACCGTGGGTTAATGTGTCAGACTGCAAAGCCATTTGAACTGTAAGGTCGGTGGTTCAAGCTCACCAGCTGCTCCTTGGAAACCCTCTACAGGGTCACTATGGGTCGGAACCGACTTGACAGCACTGAACAACAACAACAACAATATTGGTAAGGTGGGTGGTTGTTAGTAAATTGGTTGGTTGATAGCTTGGTTGACAAAGTATTCATTGGTTGTTACTGGGTGGGTGGGTTACTATTAATAGACTGGTTGGTTGACAGATTGGTTGCCTGGCTAAGTATTGATTGATTGTTATTGGTTGGGTGGGTGGTTGCTGACAAATTTGTTGCTTAGTTAACTAAACACTGATTGGCTATTGGCACTACGGGATAATGCACTGGACCGCAAGGTCAGTTTGAACCACAAGGTGGGTGGTTCAAATCCACCAGCCGCTCCTTGGAAACCGTATACAGGGCTGCTATGATTCAGAACCAACTTGAAGGCACTTAACAACAACGTTATTGGTTAGGTGGGTGGGTGGGTGTTCATTAGTTGGTTGATTAGTTGACTGGCTGACTGACTGAAAAGAAAAACCAGACTAAACCAGCCTGGTACCTTCGAGAAAGCATGAGTCACACTCCCAACTCTGCTGAGTTTGAGGACCTGAGAAATCCACTTCACAGCCACATTCCCAAGCCATAAATTTCTCCTCTGCAAATGGTGGTAATAGTGTCTATGTTTCACTTAGCCAGCCCATTGGGGCACTCTGCAAAAAACAGATATTGTCATTCTCATTACTCAACATGGAGACGAAGGGCTAGGTTCAAACATTGGTAAGACACTTGCCCACGGCCGTCAGAGGGCTGGTCTTCCTGAGACTCTGCACACCATCGCTACAGAGACCCAGCAGTAGGCGGGAGAAAGAAACACTGTACCTACAACCTTGGCTAATAATAGCCACACTGCAACTTACAAGATCTGCACCACAGAGTGAAATGCTGCCTGGTCCTGCAACTTTCTCACAATTGTTACTCTTGAACCCATTGCTACTGCCACTGTCCCAATCCTGCTCCTTGGGGGTCTTTCCCTTTTTTGCTGACCCTTCTCTTTACCAAGAATGATATCCTTCTTCAGAAACTGTTCCATCCTGAAAATAAATATGCCTGAAATGTGAGAGATGAAGTCTTGTCATCCTGGCTTCTAAGGAGCATTCTGGCTGCACTTCTTCCAATTCAGATTTCTTTGTTTTTCCTGGCAGTCCTGCTTCAACACCGTAACTCAAATGCACCTATATTTGTCTATGGTCTTCCTTATTCTTTGACCAACTTCCTCATGTCTGTGAGGCAAGTGAAAACACCATGGTTTAGATGCACTTTAGTCCTCAAACTGCTATCTTTGCTCTTAAATGCTATAAAGTGGTCTTTTAAGTAGAATCCATGAGTACAATTCCACCCCACCCCACCCCAGGTAAAAATCCAGTGACTTTCCACTTACAGGGTCCACAGTTCAGGTCTTAAAGTACAAACATGTATTGACAGTAATCCTTGGTCCCAGAAACATCTCTGAAGCTATGTCTAACTGTTCAAAATCTAAGATAGGTGCTCTAAACATGCTATTTAAAGAAAACCCACTACTCAAATACAGCAATGTTTTATATATTTTTAATTTCCATGAAAATCCCAAGAAGCTATAAATGAAAAGTAAACTCATGGACATTAATATTAAATCAAACATCATATAATTCTTAAAAATACCAGGGTAGCACAGCTGCCAGCTAAAATGAAGCTGGCTCAGCTCCCATCACGTGTGGCAGGTGACCCGTGTCTGACCTTATCTCTCCAGGACTCAGGAAGGACATGGCTTGCTTTTGCTCACTAGGTCTGTGTCCAAGCTCTTGTTTGCGCCAAAGTCATACTATTTATGTGTGGTATTACTGTCCCATGTGGGCCTTCCCAGTCCCACTGGTCTAGCAGATTAGACTCACTGAAGAAGAAAATGAGGGACTTCGAGGAGGGAGCTAAAGGGCCACACAGAAAGTGACACCAATAAAAAGGAAACATGAAGGAAAGTTAAGGGACCTCAAAGATACAATGAGAAACCCCAACAAATAGTTAGAATTCCTAAAGAAAGGTTTCAGATCAGATAGAGTGGGAGAAAATGTGGAACAAAACCCAAAATTATAACTGAAAAAATAAACCAAAAAAGTCTGGGCTTACTGGTCAGAGACTGGAGAAGGAACCCAAGAGTATGGCCCTCAACCACCCTTAGGTCTGGAATGGAACTCCCCCTTGTGACCCCATTTTCTGACAGCAGTAGATAGGTATCCAAGGGGGACAACAACACTAGGAAGGTCTGCTCACCATGGAACAGTCGGTCACCCAAGATCAAAAGGACACCATTTATTTACCTAAGGACAAAGTTGAGAAGGGATGGGAAGGAGGGTGGAGTGGAAACAGGAACCACACAGAGAAAGTGGGATCACTGTTGTTGTATGGAAGGGATTGCAATCATTGAGATGAAACAAAGTGTAGGATTGGTTGAATGTAAAGCTGATAATCTTGTCTATAAAGCTTGACTCAATTCACTATAAAAAGTTCAACAACAACAAAAAGTTCCTAAAGAAGGCAATAGACAGGAAGTACTTTTACATGAAACAATGCCAAAATATTTTCCAAAATCTAATAAGGACATGAGTTTTCACACTGAAGGAACATAATGAGTCACATGTAGCTTGGAATTCATTCATTGATTCATTCATTGATTGGGTAATTGATTCATAATGATTAAGTGAATAGATGACTGCATATTCTAGCACTATGCAGACTCAATAGCATCTAACAACAACAACATACTTGAATTACACTATCTATGAAAAGGTTCTCTTAGGATCAAAGCAAACACTATAGTTCTGGTTCCCCCAGCAGCCAAGGCAAAGTCCCAGACAATGGGAAAAGATCTAAAACTTCTAATACTGAAAATCATAACACGGAAAGTCATTCAGAGCAACCAAAACAGAACTGCCTACATATGTAGTAATATAGAAATTCCATTCAAAATTAAGCAAACAAAGCTAGAGTCCTACATCATCTCATACAAACAAGCTCCAGGTAGATTAAATTACTAAATATGAAAAGTAAATCATTAAAATGCTTGGAAGAAAATATAGGAAAATGTCTTTATGAATTATGAGGATTTCTTAAACAGAAAACAATGGCATGTAGCACCATAAAAAGGGTTTTATTTTGTTTTAATTTTTGTTTTAAAAAAGAGGCAAAGGAACACATTAGAAGTGGGAGGGGGATGGGAGAACAATTAGGCAGGTTTACACGGGCTGAGTGGGACAGAGGTAAATAATGATGTATGCCCAACTCTGGAACAACAGGGCTCTGGGATACAGGGATTCAGGCATGGTTGGAATGGGTAAAAGGGGGGAAATAATGTTAAGATGCTTGGTTGTCTATTGAAACTTGTTTTCCCTTGTCTACCATTGTAAAATAGACACTTGAGGGGGAGAGAAATGAATAGCCAGAAATATCATCATAGAAAGTTTGTAAGTCCGTCTTCTGCCTATAACTGATTGGAATACCTAAAATGGGGCTACACCGTGCCCAGTGAAGGAGGCTTCCTGTGGAGCCTCTGTGTTACATAAGAACATAGGTGGAATCCTGAACCACATCCAGAATCTTCTGAGGTGGGAAATTTCCACTTGAAAGGACAAACAGACCAGCCTAGAGCGGCTAGAAGAACAGAAGATACTTCTTGAAAGAAAGACCGACGGGATAATTTCAAA